GACTCATCTCAATTACAAAGTTTGTATCTTGAAACTTAACTTTATGATAGTTCTTTAGTTAGTTTTAAAAAAATTTAGTTGAATACCTCTAATTCTTGTTGCTTTGGCTTTATTATATTTGTAATTATATCTCAAATATACTTAAAATATAAATTGAGGCTTCAAAATTTTGAGTCTTTTTTATTCAGATTAAGCCTCTTCTTATAAGAAATTTTAGATCTTTCTAACTCAAGTGAGCCTTTTCTTTTTTTGGTTGCCTTGGCTGCAGCCTAGGCGACTGCTTGGGCTACTGCATTGGTTGCGGCCTGTGTTGTGGTTGAGGTCTCGTTCGTTAACAAAATTAACTAGACAAATCGCTCCACCAACTAAGAACGGCCATGCACTACCACCTATACGATTCCTCGCGGGGCCTTTCCAGGCAGCGAATAGTCAACTTAGAACTAGTACGGACAAGGGGAATCCGACAGTTTAATTAAAAGAAAGTATTGCGATGGTCCCTGCGTGGTTAAAATGTACGAAATATGACACATTGTTGGAAAAAGAGATAACATACACCATAAGTGATACAAAACAATCAATGCAATGTGACATGCAATATGCAAAAGGGCTTAAGAAGCTACTATAAGGGGGGGCACCTCCTTTAAGGCTAGCCAGCATGGCCAAGCCACAGGCCACGCCTATGCCAGTGCATGCGCTTGATCCTATTATGTTGGCCTTCGGGATCAGAGTAATGATTAACAGGGACAATCGGGGGTATTCGTATTTCATAGTCAGTGGTGAAATTCTGGAGCAACCGCGCCGTCCTACTTATTTAAAGTTTGAGAATAGGTCGAGGGCATTGTGCGCCCCGATGCCTCTAATTATTGGCTTTAATACTAGTGCATTGTTAATTATATGCCATGGTTTAGGGAAGAATATAAAGGAATCATGTTCAAAACCGTCTTCAATAAAACGGTGAAAATGTACGAAATACGACACATTGTCAGAAAAAGCGATAACATACACCATAAGCGATACCCAAAAAAAAAAAAATTAATTTTTTTTATAGTGTCTTGATTTATTTTCTTAAAGTTATGATTGAAAATTTGTGATAGAAAACATTATTACTTTTTTAAAAAATCCAATTATGATTTATTTATTTATTTTTTGAACCAATACAATACTTACTATAGTTTTGGAGCCTTTTGTGGGACATTTTTGAAGGGCCCAAAGTGGCTGTTTTGTGTATTTTGCCCAAAAGCCGGTCCTGATCAATGTAAGAAGGTTAGACGATGATCCTTTTAATTGTATGCAATTCCACAAGGTTAATTCTATTCTTCCACTTTTTGTGTAATAATTCCAAGTCCAACATACTATTCCATCATCTAACATATTATCAAACAAGATTTATTAGCTTTTCTGTCTGTACAAAGCAAAATTATATTTCATAGAATTTATAAAAAAAAGCACAATGCAGAAGGGCCAAATTTACCTGATCTCTGAAAAGCAGCTACTCCCAAAACCTCCTGATTGCTAAATTAATTTTAGATCCTATCAAGAATAACTATTGCATTTCTTCTTTAAAGAAAAACTGTTAAGGTTCTATGTTGTCAAAAATTTATACAATCATTTCACACCAGAATGAGCATTCCATTAAAAAAAAATATATAATGCACATAAGCTACCATGAAGCAAATGAGAGGAAGTCATCCTTGCCTCCTCCTCAGTGTGTATTTCTCTCAAACAAATCTTGACAATTAAGCCTTGCTATCAAGGTGAAAAAAACTTTGACAGCAAGGATTGCAATTCTGTTAGAAGCATATCTCACAATGGAAGCTTACAAGGAAATGGCACATTAAGCAATGTGACAAGAAGTTCAAGTAGTGCAAAGGGAGATCATCCATAATAATTTAAAAGCAGTGCCATCCCCTCAAAGTAGGGATGGCAATGGACGGCAATGAGGTGGTCATTAATTCTCCATCCCTATTTTTCTATAATTATTTTTTCCCATTCCCCATCCCCTATAGATACTATCCTCCCCATCCCTAAATGGGTTTGGATTTTTCCCAACCCAACTTGATCTCCCCCCCCCCCTCCCCCCTAAGGTTCACAACCATAGCTAAATATACATTTAATTTAATTTTTTTAACTTAACAACAAAATCAAATACATATTAATTAATTAATTAAGAAGTTCGTTTTAAAGTAATCGAATATATAATTTCAAGACAATCAAATAAGTTTTTAGTGATTGAAAAAAAACAAAAAAAAAAAACTAAAATTATATAATTATGAGTGTTTTCACCTGATGGTGCCACATCAAAACATTTTAGAGACAATAAAAGGAAAAAAAAAATTTCTTACAAAAATCATGTAAAAGAGAGATTTAATATTGGATGAAATCAGTAACTCAAATGTAATCAGACTCAAATTTCTTACAAATTTTTCAATCGTATTTCATTGACATCTATATTTACAACACACTAATTCAACTAAAAGCAAAAGAAATAATTTTTTTTTTTAAAAAAAAAAACTAAAGTTAAAAGCAACAAAAACTCCAATTCAACAATACACATTCTTTGACATTTCAACTCTAAACTGCCCATAAACTGCCTTAAAAAAGCTTTGGTGTTTTTCTTTTTTTTGCAAGAATTAATTGAGAATGTAGGTCTAATCAACAATTAATAGCAACACAGAAATCAGACCACTAAACTATTACAACCCATAAGCTGAGAACAAAAACAGGGAAGACTTTTAATCAAAGCCCATATGAGATGGCCAAATTTTGACAGAGTACAGACTAACAGATAGCTTAGCAGACCACATAAAACAGACACAAAATGAACACAGAATTCACACGAATCAAAAACATCAGTCGTTTGTTTTACAGCTAGTTCTGGGCTTTTTTGCATGTGATTGTAAATATGATTCACTACACACCAAATGTCAAAATGATTAATGATACAACAAAAAAACAAAAAAAAAAAAAGGCCATTTCATTGGCATCATAGGCACATCAGATAGGTAAATACTCCATATCATTTACATTTAAAGTGACGCATTAAGATATGAACTTGAATGAATTTAATCAAATAGAACTTGAATTAGATGTGAACCAATTTCAGTCTAACAATATCTCGTGAGATCATCTTTTATTATTCCCTTCCTAGTTACTGAAGCAAAAGCAACTAGGTAATAGAAGATGCAACAATGACATAGATTCTAGAAGTTGATTGACTAGATTAGTTGATAACTATGACATACCAATTTCAGTCTAACAATGACATACCAAGTAATAGAAGATGCAATCTATATTGGTGTAGTTATGAGGTTATGGGCAAGGACTCTTTGGTAGATTATATTTCTAGTTAAATTAGGATCTTAAGAATCCTGTATTATTGTCAAAAGAAAAGACAAAATCACCAACAGCAATAAATGATCTAACTTGTTCTATGCCAGGGAGAAGTTGAGGAACTGCTTGGAGTTGACTCAAAGAATTTTGCCATTGCAGTTGCTGAAGACTGCTCTAAACAACTATTTGCATATGTTAACTTTGATGTCTTAGATGCTATTCAGAGATCAGCTGCAAATCCTTGGGTCTCTGGGACTCCTTATTCAGAAGAGGCTTGTATGCCAGACTTAAGTCCGGTTTTCATTGATGGGAGTAGGTTGGAAAAGAATCTCTTGGAAGCCATCCTGTGGTGGAGTATAGTTCTGAATACGAATGAAAGGTTCCACATTCTACTTTTCCTTATTATTTATAGTGCTTTTCCTTTTTTCTTCATAGGCCTTCTGTGCTTCACTTAAAATGTTGATATTTGGCTGCGAAGCAAGTTTTGGTTTCGATAAGATTTGCCCTAGATGTGTTAAGTAAGGTAGTAGATCAGCCCAATTGAAAAGTAGGCTTTCCTTGCTCAAGTGTTGATTCTAGTTGAATTTAGAGATGGCAATGGGGGTTAATGGGGTGGATATTAATTCCCCATCCCCATTCCTCTATAATAAGTTAGTCATGTAGTCAAACAAATTGCACATCCAAATTCTAGTCTACTGCAGCTTTTTGTCTCTTTCAAACAAACACAAACACATGGTGGGTGTGCAGAAACCACTCACAAAATGCACACAATTGCAAATTCTCAACAGAAATACTAGTTATTGTACTGATTTCACAACTTCTTACCTACAGACTTAAAACCAAATAAAACCCATTAAAGTTTTTGGCAAAAAAAAAGTGAAAATTGCTACAAACTAGTCCTGAACTAAGAATCAACATAACCCAATAAGCACCAAGCAAAATGAGTTCAAATAGTAGAAGAAAAGTGGAGTACCAAGTCGGGGAAGAACTTCTGATACAACAGAGAACGAGAGAACGAGATAGAGAAACTCACCATGCCGGAGAACCACCGTGGTAACGCCGATGGAGATCGCCACCGCTAGATCGTTGCCTTCACAAATCCGACGGACATCGTTGCCTTCGCTGACAAGAATGAACCCTTAAACAAATTCAATTCCTGGATTTGTTCTCCAAGAAAATCGGTGACAAAAGAAGAATCAAGAAGGCGTAGGCAATGATTCTTACAGAGAGATCGAGATCGGGGAGAGAGGAAAGGACTTGGTAGACAGGATTGAATGGTGTATGTGAGAATGAGAATGAGAACCTTAAACACAGATACGGGGAAATGGGCGGGTGCCCATTCCCGACCCATATCCTATGGGTATTTAAAAAACACCATTTAATTAACCCAATGGGTAAAAAACGTGGGGAAAATCCATATATTTCAGTATCATGAAGCATGAAATCAACAAAATGTCTCAAAATGCAATGGCCCAACTCTTAACATGGATATGAATCATGCACTGGTGAGAATGTCCATAAATATTTCACAATAATGCTCACTAAAATTGTCAGAAAAAAATTTCCATGATGCTAATTATAATTGTACATTGTATTGATACAAGAGAATCCTTAATTAAGAAAGGATGGGGAAAGAAAGAAGGGGTGGTCCTTAATTAAGAAAAGAAAAGAAAACTAAACCAGAAGCAAAATACAACATGAATGCATTTCCAATAGGATCATCCTGTACAGAGTAGAGCTTAAAAATAAGCTTCATAAATAGAGAAGCCTTTTAAGCAAGTTGTTCCTTTTTACTGTACAATCACTACTTCCTAACACGTGTAATTAAATGGGGCGACCTAATCAATCCCCATTCAACTTCTAAGGAATCCCTTGTCACGAAAAGGGATATTTTGAACACATTCCAGCAGTTGGCTAAGTTAAACTCACCGTTGTCTGATGGTTAGGCCTTCAAAATATAAAAGCATTGCAGATACCTGTATTTGTCAGGTCTAAAAATTGAAAGCCAGTCTAACTCAGACCTGAGATACAGGAGGAACTGTTCCCTTCAGATAAAGCTAGCATTTGCTAAAAGAAACGATGTTTTTGGAGTCTAATCATGAAACATTTACTTTGTAGTCTGGAACAGGAACTGTGCACAAGAATTCCCAGACAAGATTGTTGGCAGCTCAATATCTGAAGGATCTATTGCTGGAAGTGCCATATATATATCTTCAGTAGAGAATGGAATGCTGCAACAGAGCAAAAAAAAATTAAGATGAATGTGAAATTCCCAGTCAGGAAAAACAAAAAAATAATAGTAAACCTTTGGGTTTTTCGGGTTCATTTCCATGGTAAAAATTTTGATCAGTAATTTTATGTTTTACTTGGCACATGTGGCAATATATTCAAATAATATGACAGCTATATAAAGAAAGATATACTCAGTAAAGATATGGAAACGTGGAACTCCTGGAATAACGATAACCATTGGGTTTTTGTCACCATTTAGAAATTCAAAGAGTTGCAAGCTTCAGTAGCATCAATGGATGCTGGTGTCAAAGCACTATCATTGATGATGATAATGAAGCAAAGTCTCATAACGCCTGGGCCTCACCTCAATATGCTGCACATTACTTTTGCACCCAGGCAATGTGAGACTTTGCTTTCACAGAACACTCACAAATTTGTCAATAAGCGTGATGACAAAGCACAATTTTTTTACAAGCATAACGAAGCTTACAATTTGTTTGAAAAGTCTAACATCTATGATCTGAAGCAACAAGTAGCACACTACCCCTCATTTATTCAATGAACCGTGTGAAACAAACAATTCCAGATACCATGTTAGGTTTATTAGTTTACCTCAAATCATCATCCAACAAAAATGAATTTGAGGTTAGATTTTGAGAATCCTTGTTCAACATCTCCCTCATCTGAGCAACAACCTGTATAACCAAACAATGTTCACAAACAGTGGGTCATCATGATACGCACTTATTACAAAACAGAGACGGAACTCTAAACTTGCCTCATTTGATACACTTTGAGTGCCATATTTATCATCCCAATACATAGTACTTATGCGATAGATTTGTCTAACAGTCAGTGCCTGCACAAGATCACGATGACAACTAAGTTTTGGAAATGTGCAAAGAGAAATCAGGAGAGAAATAATGGCTAACTTTCAGCAGTGTAAGATCATACCGGACAAAGATCTTGCCTAATCTCTTCCAGAGACTTTTTTCTTTTTTGATGAATCACCTAAATGATTTGCAAGATGTTTAACATAAATACAGCTCTAAAAATTTCAAGCACTACAGGTTTCAATTGCAGTTATGGCTTATACCAGAAATCCAACAGCTTGTCTAATATAATTTAGCTCGTGCCATGAGGTTCCTGCAAACTACATTTAGTAATGATTCATATTCAGAAAGATATTCAACTTCTGTAGAACATGTGCGCCAGAAAAACTTGAAAAAAGAAACACTCTATTTACCTCCTCTGTTGCACTGAGAATCCATTTTTCTAGTTCTGCTAAACCAGATTTCACATATTCTCCATTTGAAAATGTGCAACATTCCCGTCGCAGCAGAAGACTGAGAAGAAATTTTTTTTACTCAATACCTAAGCCTAAATTGATCATCAATTCAAAAAGCACTGGTAAATTCTAGGATCAAGATTACATACCTGTTAAAAAGTGATATGTTGATGAAAGAAAAAACCTGGGTAGTGATCTTACGGATAAAAAATGAAGGAACCTGAAAGTACATTGTTTGATTTACAAATTCAGAAGGCAATGTCACAGCACACAACAGTAACACAAAACAACAGGTAATGAATGCTTCATCCAAGAAAAGTAAACTCCAAAGAAAGTTCACAAACTAAGAAGAAACTGGCATTAAACTGTGTAAACTATTTTGAAAACCCTATGGAAACTACTCCAAAAAAAACTTTAGAAATGATGTTTCATATTTATTCTTTATGTGCTTCCTGTTGTGATCCACAAGTGATTCTCATTAGTTTCTTTCTTATTTCTGCTTAAGTTTAAATTTTCAATTAATCTTCCAAATGTTTCCTTTCCGTCTTGCAATAGTTATTTGCTAGGATTCCTATTAGGTTTCCCTTCCAATATTTAATCTTTTCCCACTATCATTTTCCTATATATGTTTTGGCTATGTTTCCTACTTCCATTTCCCCTACTATTTCCTCTTTCTACTTCCTATGCTGGTAATTAGGGGTGGGCGCAGGTCGGTTGCGACCACGGAACCTCCAATCCGCCATCCGTCCGCTAGATTGGCGGATTGGAGAAAATCAATCCGCATCCGTTCGCCAATCCGATAGATGTGGATTGAGCGGATTGACGGTTTGGCGGATGGATGCGAATCGGTTTAGCTGTTTAAAATTTTATAAATTTTCAACATAATTCAACTTGTACACTTCCTCAAAAAAA